GACCAGTAATGGAAAACACATCTTCAATCGCCATAAGGAACGGCAAATCAGTTTGTCGCTGTGGAATTGGAATATAACTATCAACAGCATCCATCAAGTCATAAATCTTATCGACCCACTGATCCTCTCCTCTCTTGATTTTGGGGTTTGCCATCAATGCCTGTAAAGCCAACAATGCCGAACCTGAAACAATAGGCACGTCATCACCCGGGAATTCATACAGAGTCAGGAGCTCCCGAACTTCCAATTCCACCAACTGAAGAAGCTCTTCATCATCAACCTGGTCCTGTTTGTTCAAGAAAACCACAATATTTGGCACACCAACCTGTTTCGCCAACAGAATGTGCTCTTTGGTCTGAGGCATTGGCCCATCCGCGCCTGAAACTACCAAGATCGCGCCGTCCATTTGCGCCGCACCGGTGATCATGTTCTTCACATAGTCGGCGTGCCCGGGGCAATCCACATGAGCATAGTGTCTGCTCTCAGTTTCATACTCAACCGTTGCGGTGTTGATCGTGATCCCTCGGGCTCTCTCTTCCGGCGCCGCATCGATTTCGTCATACTTCTTGGGTGCGCTATTGCCCATAGAGGCCAAAGCCATGGTAAGAGCAGCTGTGAGAGTAGTCTTCCCATGGTCAACGTGACCGATCGTGCCAATATTAACGTGGGGCTTCTTCCTCTCAAATTTTCCCCGGGCTGCTCGGACGACAAAGGCCCCACGACGAGTAGATTCGATGAAGTTGGGGGCGCCGGCTACGAGCGATGAGGGCAAGACGGATGTGAGTTTGAAAGAAAGGAGATTGCGTTTTGAGTGTGAACTGTAGAGGAAGAGATGGGCGGGGGATGAGATTGAAGAAGTAAAGGATGGTGAAGGTCTGATAGAGACCTCGGAAAGAGAAGGCGTGGGAGACGCTCCGAAGATGGAGGCCATGGATCGGGAGAGAGAGCGGCGAAGGGTGGCGGAGTACACGAAGAATAGCGAAGGAACTTGGATCGTAGCAGTTGCTTTGCCATGTACGAATTCAATTTATTCTCAACACAAAAAGGGTCCTGACGTCCGTCGTTCTGCCCCGCTAAAAAAGTAACTAATTTCTAAATATTATTATGGCCTTTCCAAGCAAAAATAAAAAATAAAAAACAAGTGTCAAAGGCCGTAATTCTTATTATAAGACTTGTTATTATAGGTTATTGGAGTTGTTATTAAGACCTTTTGGTAATTATTTCTCTTTTGTGAAACTTGATTGTAATTTCTCTAATTATTATTTGCCTTACACAACAACCTAAAAATCTGATAACTAATTTAAAAAAGTTTATTGGGAAAATGACACTAAAATACCACTTGAATTCCAAAAAGACACATAAGGGACCTGAATAAGCAAAATGACAAAGAAGGCATCAGGTACCAATCTGGAATTTTGATTTTTGGCCTAAAGACTGAATTGCCCTTATTGTGTTTGCCCCCTCCCAGCGAAAGCAATTCCCCCCACTCGGCAAAAGAGAAACTGCCCCCACTTGGCGAAACCAATCCATCTACTCGGTGAAACTAATCCCTCCCCTCAGTGAAACCGAATCCCTCTACTCGATGAAACCAATCCCTCCACTCCATGAAACCAAACCCCCTCCAGTTGACGAAACTAAATCCTTCGCATCACCATTCTGTAGAGATTATTGATTTGGTGGGTTTTGGTTGTGGGAAAGAGGATTTGTAGTGAGAGAGGGAGTGAACCGAAGCGGAAAGATGAAGCGGAAATCAGAAAACTAGCAAGCAATTACGTAACGTAACTGCTGTCATATGCCTGCTGGTTTTTGATAAATCTCATTACGTGAATGGTAAATTTCACTATACATGTAGTTAATTATGAATTTTACAAAATACATATTGTGATTTACAACTTTTGTAGTGAAAGTGACTACTTTGTTAATGGGTTTTGCGACCTGTTTTCAGGAGATAAACAACTTGTTTGTAAAAACTAATAAAAGTGACAACTTTTGTAGTCACGTTGAATTAACTGGTTGCAAAAGCCATTTAAGAAGTGGTCATTTTCACTATAAAAGTTGTAAATATCACTGTGTGTTTTGTAAAATTCAGCGTCAAATTTTATTAATTTTTAGAAACAAGTTGCTCATCCCCTGAAAAGAGGTTGCAAAACTCATCTAAGAAATGGTCATTTTCACTATAAAAGTTGTAAATATCACTGTGTGTTTTGTAAAATTCAGTGTCAAATTTTATTGATTTTTAGAAACAAGTTGCTCATCCCCTGAAAAGAGGTTACAAAACTCATTTAAGAAGTGGTAATTTTCACTACAAAAGTTGTAAATATCACTGTGTGTTTTGTAAAATTCAGCATGGAATTTTATTGGTTTTTAGAAACAAGTTGCTCATCCCCTGAAAAGAGGTTGCAAAACTCATTTAAAAAGTGGTAATTTTCACTACAAAAGTTGTAAATATCACTGTGTGTTTTGTAAAATTCAGCATGGAATTTTATTGGTTTTTAGAAACAAGTTGCTCATCCCCTGAAAAGAGGTTGCAAAACTCATTTAAGAAGTGGTAATTTTCACTACAAAAGTTGTAAATATCACTCTCTGTTTTGTAAAATTCAGCATGGAATTTTATTGGTTTTTAGAAACAAGTTGCCAATTCCTTGAAAAGAGGTTGCAAAACTCATTTAAGAAGTGATAATTTTCACTACGAAAGTTGTAAATCTCACTATGTGTTTTGTCAAATTTAGTAGGAAATTTTATTAGTTTTTAGAAATAAGCTGCCCATCCCCTGAAAACAAGTTACAAAACCCATTGAATAAGTGGTCATTTTTACTACGAAAGTTGTAAATCCCACTATACGTTTTGTCAAATTTAGCATGAAATTTTATTAGTTTTTACAAACAAGTTGTTTATCTCCTGAAAACAGGTTGCAAAACCCATTAAGAAAGTAGTCACTTTCACTACAAAAGTTGTAAATCACAATATGTATTTTGTAAAATTCATAATTAACTACATGTATAGTGAAATTTACCATTCACGTAATGGGATTTACCAAAAACCAGCAGGCATATGACAGCAGTTACGTTACGTAATTGCTTGCTGATTTCCGCTTCGGTTCACTCCCTCTCTCACTACAAATCCTCTTTCCTACAACCAAAATCAACAATCTCTACAGAATGGTGATGCGAAGGAGTAAGATAATAGCATTTTCAACATTCTTCTTTCCTTCTTCCCGCATTTCATCAGCGTCGGTCTTCCTCTCTCTTTTCTCTCACTGCGTCGGTCTTCCTCTCTCCTTTCTCTCACTTTCAGCTTTTGGTCTTCCCGCATTCATCAAGGCATTTTGGTCTTTTGGCCGAAAATATGAATTCTAGATTGGTACCCAGTGCCTTATTTGTCATTTTGCTTATTCAGGTCCCTTATCTGTCTTTTTAGAATTCAAGTGGTATTTTATTGTCATTTTCCCAAGTTTATTTGTCATTTGTAAATAATGATGAATAACTCCACTAACAACTTAAATGTAATAAATTAACAAATAAATATGTTAGAAGGTTTTAAAATGAGAGTTAAACCTAATTTTTAAAGCACTTTCTATTATAGACTATTAATGAGATTTTATAGTTAAGATAATAAAAGATAGTTTAAGAATTAGATTTAACTTTTATTTTAAAATTTTTATAATTAAAATCATATGTGGGATATTATTTGAGAATTCGACTCCTCTTACTCTTAGCATCGTGCTGAACATACCCGACTTCCATTCCGTTAAACAATCACTCCATGCATAGTCCACATTCATTCAACTAAAACCACCATAGTCGAATTTTGATAGCAATGTTCGTGAAGAGAACTTTTACAATTTTCAAGACATCCTTTGTCCTTTTTTTATTATCTTAAGTAAAGAAATTGGCTTATCTTGTCAACCACTAATTAAGGTAGCACTGTATCCAGTTTTTAATATAAAATCTTAATTTATTTTATTTTTTATATTTATTTTTTTTAAAGTAATTTTTTTAATAATAGTAATTTTAGTCACTACACTTATTAGCAAGGATATTTTAAGAAAGACAATACCTATTTATTATGAATAACTAATTTAACTTATTTTCTTAATCTACTCAAATTAATTAATTAGTTTTTATATTTATGATCAGAAATAGTATTATTTTGCGCTCTGTCCGCTTTTGAAAGTTATATTAATTCCCTGCAGTCCAGATGCAATGGATAATGGAATAACAAATAAACTACCAAGATCCATTACCAGAAGATAACCACGTTATTGTGGGTAAACCAAACCTTTAATCATTCACTCAATTTTTGACGTTGTCGTCTATCGATTGGAGATGAAGATTCACAGGCACAATTGATGATGTGATCACGCTAATTTAATTTATACACATGTTTGCATAATACTGTTATTAATATAAGAACTCGTTTAATTTTTATTTTAGTCATAAATATAAAATTTCCATCTACTTTGTGTTTTTATCTTTTATATTTATTCATTTTTTTCTCAAAATAGTCCTTATAGTAATAATAGTTCTGACCAATACACTTGATTAATAATGATATTTTAAAAAAAATCTATTTATTACAAGATAATTAACTTAATAAATTTTTTTAATCTAATCAAATTAATTAACTAACTTTTATATCAACGACGGAAAGTAATTAAAGAACTTAAATAACCTCAAGTTTACTTTGCACGAAATTGAAAACTCATGCAAATACCAAATCAAAACTCAAGTCATAGTGTGCATTGAAAACGACTCAGGAAGCGTTGAGAAACACCAAAAACTATTTTTTTGCAAACCAAAATAAATTTCCTCACATATTTATTTCATATATAGTAAAATCATTGTTTCCATCTAAAGATCCCCTCAGCTTAACAAGCGTTCAGAAATTGCATCCGCTTAAATTTTAATTTCGACCAAAATCTTGATTGGCTATCGTCTTTTTATTTAAAGATGGAATAAGATAAAAACATCCTTCAGATATGTTCATTTTGGAGAGTCCTGTCGCAAACTGCACCGTTAGAATAAGATTCGTTGCTGCTATCTATTTTTGAGTTAATCCAATCCAACTTCACTGTATGTATAAATTTACTACACAACACAGTAATGTTAGGGAGAACTCTATCTACCTTAAAGACACAAGAAAACATACTGTTCATTCTGTTCACTTTTCTTTTCTTCTTCCTCGTGGCTGCGGAAGGTACAGAGGGCTGTGGATGGATCTGCTTGTAGAATTACGTGGGCCATCAACGCCATTATCGTGTAGGCCCGAATGGGAAAAAAAAAAAAAACAAACAAAGAAAGGGAAGAAAAGAAAGAGAAGGGTCAGAAAAGATAAAAAGAACTTATTAAGCAACCGGCTCATGGTAACATTAGGCCAGCGTCTACTTTATTCACAGCTCAATTCATTGGCGATGTCCATCTGGCAAAGGAACCACTTTATGGAAGGGCACGATCCTTTGAGGTAAAGATCCATCTTCCTCGTCATCATCAAATTCCAGTAAATAACTGCCCAATCAACTCAGAAGGTGAATAACCATAAGGCACAAACATTACTGTTGATTATAATTGATATGATTCGATTTGATATGAATTTACTAGTAATGCTTTTGACCAAATCCCCATATTTATTATTTCATTCATTGTAATTATTCTAGAATAATCTTGTATTTATTAGGATTGCTCTTCTCCCTGTGTATATATGCCCTCATGCATTGAGTGAATGAACACAAAACAGTTTACACTCGATCTCTCCTTTTCCACTCCTAATAAAAAAACTGAAAAGGAAATTTCAACGAAAACCTTATCACCCATTTTAAAATACCAGGTGTTCAGGTTTTTCCCCCTCTTGCAATAAAATTTTGAATAACACTGCCTAAGGAGAAACGGGTAGCTCATCTTCCCTCCATAATCTTATCTCACCTATATCTCAATGAGATTTAAACAAGAGAGTTTCACCTGCAAAGTGCTGAAGCACTTTGGCATTCCCAAAAGATGAGTGGGTCATATTTTATACAATGAAGACATACAAGGAAAGCAGTGCCACGTCACAGAGTTTCTGCCACTAATTATATTCCACTCGGCTTGAATGCTATGCATTTAGAAGATATGTTAAGGGCCATTACCAGTTCGATGAAAGTAATAGACTGTACCCAATTATCCATGAACCATACATATATCATGCTGCCAGATTTATTTTCTAACACAAAAATTTAACCTGGCTTTGCAATGATTCTTCATACTTAGCAATTAATTGTGATTTGTCTGATTTTCATAAATAGTGCACCTATATTAAGTTCACAAAAATCTTTATGGATCCTTTCCCTTATCAGAAAATATAGATTTCAATCACATTATAACTTACTTTCGAATGACAAGAAGGTAGGGGTTTATTATTTAATCTTAGTTAAAAAGATTTGCGGAGATAATGAAGAAAAATCGTGTATCTAAGTTGTCCGGTTCTTTAAGCAACAAGGCTATAAAATGAAAATTGGCCAACTGAAAATAATGCGTATTTTATATGAAAGAGATCAATATGATTTCACTGGGTTTCTTCAGATAAATGGACAATAATTATAACCGAAAATGAAGTCCAACAGAATATACTTACTCATCTGTCTTCCTCTGCAGATGTGAAATGATGGAAATTACCCCAGAACATGCACAATATCAACAGTTCGTTTGATGTCAAAGTCAAAGAAGATGTAAATAGAGAAGATTAACAGATTGCAAAATATTTGAAGAGGAAACCCAACCAAGATATAATTCTAGCATAGCAATCAAACGATAGATTTTTCACCTTGCGATGGCCATTGACTACTGTGGCTTTATAAAGGGCAGTAGTCCCAGGATAGACTGCCAAAACTTGCCTTCCATGAGGGAAATCTGGAGCACCAGCAGGATCATTCCTCTTGGGGAAAGGAATAATATTTGCCACGGGAAGCCTGTATTTTCTGCATGCATAAAAAAGAAACAATTTATACTTAACAATTCAATGAATCAAAAGGAATGATTCCCCCACATAGACCATCTAGGTAAAACTATAGAAATGGCTGTTAGTGTATGGGTATCAAGCACACAAGTTTCCCTGGGAATTGAACAATTTTCAGTCCCTGAATACAATGTCATAGCATCAAGAGCACCCAACCACAAACCCTAAAGAGGAGTAAAACCTACTCTCAATGTGTAAATTGAGATCAGAAATGTTGGCATCGGTTTCAGGCTTTCAGCCTCACTCAGTGCGGTTACCATGATAGTTTACAATTTTCTATGTAAAAGTGAAACCATCACGTAAAAGAAATTTTTATTCGAGTAACATCATCAGCAATGTATCACAGAATGAATATTTCAGAAAATTAAATATAAAAGAACATCCACATAGGTTACCTTTGGCCACCGCCCTCTTCATCATCACCAGGTTCCTCATCTAGTACCTCAAATCTGTAAAATTGTATTTGCAAAAAACCAAATAAAAATCTAAAGGGACAACTAAAAAAGATTATCCCAACAGGAAAATGTTTTTATACATTCTTTCAAACAATAGTTACAAACCAATAGATGGGCAAAGTTGAATTGTATAAATTGAAGATCTGACCTCATAAAATATAGCTATAAGTTGGTCCTATTACAAACTATTCAATTTGTACGAACTTTTGAAGTTGACAATCTTGGATGGAAACTTACTCTTTTGATTCCTTGTCAAAATGCATCACTTTAACAACAAACCATTCATCTTTATCAGCATCATGTGGCGTAACCCTAGCTGCCACCTGAGAACACATTAACGTCACAAGTAGAGTTAGAAAACTATCATGTACGAAATTGGTTAGATTCATTTATAAAAAAAATAAAAAATAAAAAAAGGGAGAGCAATCAACAGGATAATGGCCCATTAATATCTAATATTGATCGAAATCTAAGGCTATATGTACCTGCTCACCCTTAAGACTAGCATAAATCTCAAGTTGATTTCGCATACTAGGAGATAGCCTTGAAATATCTGAGTCAGACTTCAGTCGTTTCTTTTTCTGCTCATTGCCTTCTGCAACACAAATATTGTCAGCCAGAAATGGTACAAAACTGTCATCTTATCAGCAATGATGATAATGCAATTTATATTCATAACTAAATCAGCTCTGGCTAAAAATTATATTCTGCTATCCTCACATGTTTGCTTTCATCTTTTATGTTCATATTCATGTAGCTTGCATATCAGTAATTGCATAATGTGAAATAGCCATTACCACACATTTTTGGGACAGCAATGCATCAACAAGGATTAGCTGGTGCAAAAGCACCAGTGTAAATGCAAAATCACTCCTGTAAAATTATAATTCTGCGGCCCCCCATCCCCACCACAAAAAAAAAAAAAAAAAAAAGAATTATCACTTTGGATAATCAGCGCCACCAATATGCGAGCTCCATAAGAATACCCAGCTTTGGATTCTATTACTCCTTCCCGCATATAAGTGAAGAAGGATTAAATGCAAATAAAGGATAAATTAACATAAAGTGGCAAGTTTTACTTAAATTACACACTTGACTGCAGTGCCTTTGAACAAACTACTGAAATGTGTGTCTGTCTATATATTATCAGCCTTCCCTCCCCTATTTTTCACCTTCTTCATGCAGCTTGATTATATATGATTGACCAAAATGGCAGCAGAGATGCCAAATAGCCAACTATATTTTTGAGTATCCAAAGCAGTAGACTTTACCTTTTCCTGGAAAAAACAAACAAAGACAGAAAAAATTGCAAACAATCAGAAATGACAACCACCCAACAGAATAATGGAATTTTGAATTGCAGTCATCACATAGAAGGTCAGGTGTATTATCTTCCTAGTCATTCATTTCCTTTCTCTTTTCATGTCTTTCCTTTCTTTGGAAAAGTTGAGTATAGTGCTATAGATACTTGCACCACTTCTACAATTTTGGTCCATCATACCAGATCAATCTGGCTAATCTATTATAGATAAGAAAGAGACAGTAGGAGAACAACCTACTGAAGCACTGAAATTTAAAGCACAAGTTTTAATAGGAAAAATAATTTGGACTATCACAAATTTGAGACTAACCTATTCTTCTTCGTGGTTGCCCTGGCGGTCCAGGTGGCAGCAGAGCATCAAGTTGGCTTACCAGTAAGTTGGAAATACTGTAACCAAATAACAATGTTGAGAACCGTATAAGGCATAGAATGTCCATTCTGGGCAGAGTATAAGCCAACCATTCTATTGTTTAACCGTGTTTAGTGGAGCCTTGATCATTACCAAACAGTGTAGAAACAAAGAAAATTATTTTTAGAAAAGAAAAAAAGTGAAGATCAACTGCTTCTGGGCCACAGACCAATCGTACCTTACTTCACTTTCCGAAAGCTCTTTTGCACGAGTGTACAATACCTTAAGTTTCGATAATGAGCTATCCCCAGGCTTCTCAACCACCTCAGGAGCTGCATTAGCTTGGGAAAAAACCATCAACAAACAGCAACAGCGGTATTTTTTGTACCACAGAGAGATAACACATAGGAAAATAGGAACTCATATCAGGCAGTTTTACTTCTGACCACTAGAAAACTTAAAAACTACCAACAAACTAATCTCTTTCATTAACACTAATTAATTCTTACTATTACCCACTCAACAAAACAGAGAAGACCAAGGTCCTACGCCCTAAATATGGAGACAATCAGATGCTTGTAGCAGCATGAAAAGTGTGGAGGACATAAAAAATTATAGACGTCCAAGGATGTAAAGAATCTTCTTGGAGCAGCGATGAGAGAGTAGCGAGGCTAGATTAATATTATTACAAGGCGAACTTATTTCTTGCTTACTAGGCAAAGAGTGGATTAAATAGTATCTCCAGGGAATAAGGCATATAGTATCATGTTGCTTCCACCGTCTGATATTTTTCTACGTCTATAGATTGATGAGATAGCAGTGTAGTTTTAGAGCAATGACAGAATCACTGGGAAATAACTGTAAGAGTAGTGAAAACAAGTAGTCTAACAGCAAGAGTATTCGATTTGTTAAATTTGAGCCATTCCAGTCTATAAACTCAAATGACTGACAATAATCTCTCCGATATCAGACAAAGTTAAAATAGACGAGTGGCAACTAACTCTCAAGTCAGAACGTTAGGAACATTCTTCTATTGAATTGGCCAAAATCACAGTAGGAATTGTTCTTTTCTGATTTCATTTAACTTAAACAGTGATCCTAATTCAAAAACTGAAAGTTCAATGGGAAGTAAAAACTTCCCCTAGCTTTCCAGTTTAATTATCTAAACGTCACTCCCGCACCATAACTACCAAATTATCCTAAAAGATGGTAAATTTACTACGTAAATCTATGTCTTTGGAACTAACCTAGGTAAGAATAACTGAAATTTAAGCCAGTTCCAACTATGAACAGCTCAAAACAGCTTTAAGGGGGGGGGGGGACAAACCAACAACAAGCTAAGATCGCATTAATTTACTAGCAATGTGACAACAATTACATCATTCAATAACACGCAAAAAAACAAATTTAAACGACAAAACAAGTAAAGTCTAGAGAAGCATCAAGACGGAGCATTAAAAATAGCAATGATAGAGAAACATACTTGTTTGAAGCTTCTTGTGCATCTTGTTGATCTCGATGAGCACCTCCTCTTGCTCTTTCCTTAACTGATCCAGCTCTTTCGAATTGTCCAAGATGCCAGCAATGTCCGGTGACGACATCGTTACTCTCTCGACAATCGAAGTTCGATTCTGCCTACAATTTTTTGGTCCTACGTCCAATTACCTCGAGAATGGAATTTGACCGAACATAAAGAATAATGCAGCGTTAATGGAATTTTCGTTCAGACTGTGATTAACCCACAAAAACACATCCTGTATTACTAAGAACGCAAGAAGATAGCAGGACGATCGTATTTGCCTCTTTGGTTAATCGGGAAAGTAACGAAGTGACGTCGTTTTTCCGTTTTCGCGAAAGCTTGGGTCGTTTGATCCCGGCCGGATACGGAAATTAACAATGATTGCCTCTGAATAATCAGTTTTTTACCATATTTAAAAATAATAATTATAATCTGTTGGATCAAAATTTGTATGACACGCGGGAGTCAAGAATCAAGATGTCCCAGCCTCCCCGCCCGAGTGCAACCATTTTCTAAATATATTTTTCAACGAAAAAAATGATAATTTAAAAAATTAGCATAAATCATCCTTATTTTAACATTTAAACGTAAGAATTAAAATGTGCATATGAGTAATAAAACAGATAAAAATGAAGGAACGCATCACATACTAAAATATATGAAGAAGATTTTTTTAAAAAAATTGCATGGGATCTAAAGAATTCATACGCCTTCCTATAAATTTTTAAATAGTTTTTATGGTAAATAGTAAGATAATTATGATTACTAAAAAATGCATCATTACTAGTACCAAAATTTTGAGCCGTGTTAGGAGAAGAAAAAAATGTGCCCACGAAACTAATATGTTTTTTCTCTGGGCATTAGAGCCCGTAATACGGTTAGATCTGTTGGTCTAACCTACTAATCCACTATAAATGAGAAGTTAAAATTGGCTAAAAGTCAACCTGCCAGTAAATAAAGCTTTTCAATCCGTGCCATCTTGCCCACAACCCGTTGGGGGTTAACCCTCATTTTTTTGTATTTTTAAAATTTTAGTAATCATTATATGTATATTATTATATTATATATTCTATCTAAAAATTTAAAAAATACATATATCATTTATTTATTTAGTGTTTTTAATCAAGTATTTGAAGAAATGATAAAAATTTCATTGTATTTTTTTTATATTGTATAAGGGAAGATGTTAAAAGAATGAAAATAATAATACTCCTTCGGTCCTTAATATAGGGCCCAATTGTTAAGTTGGTTTTGATCTTAAATATAAGACCCATTTTTCATATTTATCAATTTTCTCTAAATTATCCCTCTGAACACTCCCTCAACGATAATCAAATAGAAGAGAGAAGAGGGTATTAAGAAAGATGATTATGGTATTTTAGGAAAAACGTGTCAAATTTCTTATAATTAACTAACTTACCTAACTTTTTAATCTAATCAAATTAGTTAAATGGGTCTTATATTAAAGACCGGAGGAGTAATAGTAATAGTTAATGGGTTGGCCAACACATCATGACAAGTTAGGATTGGCTAAAAACTAACCAGCCATTACACATAGCCCTTTTAAACTGCACTACCTAACTCTAACCTGTAATGGGTTGACCCGTATTACTATCTTTACTGGACATGCCGAGGATAGGACTATGTTTGAATCTTGAAAGAGATTTTTTATTTTTTAGGAGGAAAAAAGCCGCTTTTTTCTTTGGGTGTGCTCTCAGAACCTCAATATATAACCTATAAGTTAAATCTAGTGAAAAAAAATTAATTTTTCGCAATGAAACAAATTAAAATTTGAATTATCAAGAAGTATCTGTATTTAATATCCAACACACTTCAAATGCAATTATCTCCAATCAAAAAATATTGTCCTAACAAACAAAATCTCAAATATATATTGGTGAGGCACTTTCTAAGCGAAAATGAAAATTTCAGAGCAATGTAATAAGTTGATTATAGTTTATGACCAAAATGATTCGAAATTTTAATAAAGGACTATTTGCACTTAACAATTACAATATTAGCCAAAGAAGCTTTTCAATTTTAAGAAATCTGTTTCGAATGAATGAGAATTTGAAGAAAGGGTTTAAAGTTTATGTTTGAACTCTGAACTGCGGAATTTGCAACCTGGATCTCAAAGTACCCTAATCCCTGCAGTATGTTGTGGGACCACGGTGTTTGTTTCCTACGATATTTTATGAAATAGTACCTTAGAATATGAATACTAGTATAAAAATTTGTTTGAGTTTTGTTTTTTTATTATAAATATAAAATTTCAATTTATTTTGTCTCTCATATTTATTTATTTTTTTAAAGTAGTATTTATAATTATAATAATTTTAATTAATATACTTGATTAGCAAACATATTTAAAAAAAAACAATCCTTATTTATTATAAAAAATTAATTTTATTAGTTTTTTTAATTTACTCAAATTAATATAAATAACTAAGAATGAGAGGCACTATCCAGGAATCAAATAAGGGGCGTTGCACGTATGCGATATCGGCACGAGGCCACAGTGACAATGTCCACAAAGTGGCAAAAGCGTGAACAGTAAATGACAGCCGGCAAATAACATCAGAAAGCTCTCACCAAGAGCCTCGCTCATCACTTCCGCATCAATGCAGATTCATATGTACTCAGCAGTTTTATTATAAATTTTAAATGATTAATTTATGAACAATTAAAAAAAAAGATAAAATTAGTTAAGAATAATAACTAGACAAGACACATAATAATGAGTAAAATAAAAAACTGCATTTAATATTAAAACAAGTTTAAATTAAAGCTTATAAAATAAATCACATTTTTATGAAGTTTGGTAAATGATGCCGTGTCGGGGGTAATAATAAGGGAGAATGATAAAAAAAGTTAGAAAATTACAAATCTCAAATCAGATTTGATAATACAACTTTATTTAGTATTAACAAGTTTGAATTTATAAATGACAATAACTTTTTGTTTAACATTTACAAAATTCTATCTTCTTTTTTCGTTGTTGTCCCTAATAATAATAATATATTATTATTATTGATATTGATGGGTAAAAACGGTGGTTCCATCTGCGTGGGCCAAATTTCATTTTCTCGGCCTCATCGACTATGCATGCCGGCCGATTCGACAGAGATTTGGCGCCTTTCGCCATATCACATACTAACTAACAGACAGCAAATTAATGGCGGATTCATGTACATCGGTTACTTCCCACACCGATCAATCCCATTCTTCCTCTCATCATCTTCTTCTCTCCTGTCTGGCCAGCCTCTGCAACAACCCTTTCAGTGTTCGTGTAACCGTTTCAGTTGGTACGCACTACCGCTCCTGTTCATACTTCTGAAAATCCATACGGGCATTCCGCATTTTGCTTGAATTTAGACCCACTCATTTGCATGCTTTTGCTGAATTTTTCAATACTGGCTCTGTAGATTCAGATTGGTAATTAAATATCTAAATAACACTATCTCATGACTCTCATCGTGGGATGTGAATATTTGTTAAAGTCGAGTGATAGTATTGAGATTATAGCTTGTTGCTTTAAAGTATCATGATTTATATCGCGTTTGCTCTGAGTCAGCTGATAAGCGTTACTTTTTGGGGGTTGAATATTCAGGCTATACATTTGAAAGAAAAGCACCGGCACATTCAGGCAGAGCGTGCCATTGGCGTTGCATATTGCTTTTAAGCAATTTTGAGTCATAAGAAATTGATCACAATGGGAAGTCCCTTACGCAGGTATATGGAATACTCGAGCGTTACCTTCTGTACTGCCCCTCTTCACGCTCACGCAAAATAAAAGAGACAGAAGAAAATTTCATTGACCTTTTTAATATATTTCCATTTGCCCTGCAGTGGAAAAATCAGAAAGTCTAATGAGACAATGAGGTTCACTGTAACAGTTTTTCTTGGAGTTGTTTTTGGCTTCCTTCTGGGAATTTCGTTTCCAACACTCTCATTAGCTAAGGTGTATAACCTTCCGCAACAATACTATGTTTTATGTCAAGTGTTCTCGCTAGAATTAACAGTTTTTGTCTAATTGTCAGATAAATCTCCCCTCTGGCCTTTTCCCATCAATTGATCTCACAAAGATTGAGGACGACGATTATTCAACTATTTCAACCAAGGGAATTTGGGATGCATGGGTTTCTTTTAGCCGCGACAGAAGCAATTTCAATGGAATTCAAAAATATGACGAGGCCAATGTACTATTCTCTGCTCTAGTTTGATAGTTCTTGTGTGGTGCAGAGGTTTAAATGCTGTTCGAAGTTATTGAGCTCATGACTGACTCGGTACACTTGGTCACGATACAGATATGGGTTCCCACAAATCCTCGAGGGGCTGAAAGGTTACCCCCCGATATAGTCAGACCCGAGTCAGATCTTCATCTTCGTCGGTTATGGGGTCCGCCCGTGGAGGTGTGCTTCTTCTTCTTCTTCTTCCTCTTTGATGCTATCTTCATTACTCTTTACCATAAAAGATGCATTGGATTCAGCAGTGAGATTTGCCCTGTGATTCGATGTTACACTTTTTCTCCTCTTTAATGTCTCTTCGGCTGATGGAAGTGACACTTGCAGGACCTAATCATCGAACCAAGGTACCTTGTAACTTTCACTGTTGGTTATGGTCAGAAAGACAATGTTGATGCTGCAGTGAAAAAGGTAATTTCAGTTCCTGCCCCGCCTCACTCTGTTTCTTCATCCCTCTTCCTAACTGTGTTCTCTGTTCGTTTTACTCTCTTTAAATTTCAACTTCAAAATTTCAGTTCTCCAAGAACTTCACTATTGTTTTGTTTCACTATGACGGTCGGACTAGTGAGTGGGACCAGTTTGAATGGTCAAAACGGGCAATCCATATAAGTGCTCCGAAGCAATCTAAATGGTTGGTCCTATTTTCTTCATTTTGTTTCTTACCAAGCCTTTTCATTACGTTTTTGACTTTTGAGTTCTGAGATAAACATCCTGAAATTTGATTCAAGGTGGTTTGCTAAACGCTTTCTGCATCCTGACATCGTGGCACCCTATGACTACATCTTCATTTGGGACGAGGATCTGGGCGTGGAGCATTTTGATGCAGAGGAGTAGCATCAAAACCATAATATTGAGTGTAATTCAGGGTACGGTGAATATTTTTCAGCTTCGACCTCTTTATTACAGGTACCTGAAAATGG